CTGTTAGAGCACAGTGTCTGTTAGAGCACAGTATCTGTTAGAGCACACAGTGTCTGATAGAACAAGACACTGTGCTCTAACATACTTGGCGCAGAGGTTAGAGAGGTGGGCTTGTGATCCGAAGATCGCCGGTTCACGCCCCGGCCCCGACAACATCAAAAAAATTGTGGGTGGGGTAGGTGAAACACCCACACTTGCCCCCACCCTCATTCGCCCCACTCTGGGCCCATGAGCAAGGCCCTTAACCCCCACCATGTGCTCCCTAAACAGGTCTCTCTTGAAAATGAGTTCTCGTGGCTCAGTGAGACTAACCTGGATAAATAAAGGCTAAATGAAAAAAAAAAATAGCACACAGTGTCTGTTAGAGCACACAGTGTCTGTTAGAGCAGTGTCTGTTAGATCAGTGTCTGGTGCACCTGACATAATAACAGCTGCTCTATTCACACACAACGTGCTGTTTCTCTCTAAAATAATAATTTAATCAAGTGTTTACAAATGTAGGTAAATGCTGATGTTTAACAACCCGTTAAAATACACCAAACTGGACCCACATACCCGCCCCCCACAGACACACACACACGCCTGGCCTGCCCGCTGCTTCGGCATCAATCAGTTTACAAATTAAGCCCTGCTCCCACAGTTTATAAGTGGTGCACTGGTCATAAAAACAGTCTTCCTAATGTGTGTTCACATTTTCTCTCCTCCACTATTCACTGTAAAGTTATCAAGTGTGTTACAAAAGTATAAATTAAACAAAGAAACACCCTTCCCTGTTAATTGTTTAAACAGTCACGTAGCAGGCATTTTGGGTTTTCATGAGCTGTATGCCATAATTATCAGTATTAAAACAATTAAAGACCTGAAATATTTCAGTTGGTGTGTAATGAATCTGAAATATATGAAAGTTTCATTTTTATCATTACATTATGGAAAATAATGACCTTTATCACAATATGCAAATTTTTTGAGAAGGACCTATATATATATATATATATATATATATATATATATATATATGTGTGTTTATATTTTTGAAAATGGGACAATTATCACTGATACCGATAGAACCCCAAAGGCATACATCAGCCCAAAATATCAGCCCCGCATATATATTGTGTATGTGTACACAATTTCATTTCACTACATGTACCACATGTGGTGGAATGACAAATAAAGGACCCTGAATCCTTGAATATTGGTCGGGCTCTATTAGAAACATTAACACGCGCCCTCAACAAACTTAGTATTTCAGACTTATTCTTGACAAACAAGTCCCGTCACTCTACCCTGTGGATCCTCTCCTGTTTTCAACACAGTACTGAGTTGTGAATGTGACGTCATGCTATAGTAACCCTCTGCTAAACACACAGCTCATAGGAAAGTGGATGGTCATAGTAGTTGACTGTTAAATTACATTTTAGTCATTTGATGACCCTGGTTTGAAAAAGTGCAACATGACTGTATCACAATCCTGATGTTTTAGACCCATTTGCAGGCAGGCGAGCGAGGCAGGAGTTTAAAATCAAAATCATTTATTTTAAACAACAAAACAAAACGCTGGCATGGCAGCAAAAACTTACTGGAACAGGCAGGACGGGCACAGATCACAAAGTGGACAGGCACAAAACTCACGGAGTAGGACTGTGTTGTCTGTACAGAACAGAACAATGACCAGACGAGGAGTGGAGGAGAGAAAGGCTTTTTATAAGACAGAGAGAGAGTGAGTGATGAGAGCACCTGGGCAGGTGGCTGATGAGAGACAGGTGTGAATGATAAAGACTTGAAGACTGGAGAGGCAGACTGAGGAGTGAGTGGGAAGTTACAACAGAATCAGATACAGGGGAACAGAATCACACAAGGGGCAGAATGAAATAAGCACAATAAGCAGAAAAGGGGAAGACACAGAAATATCTGACAGCCAAGGGACAGACTGAAGGTTTCCTTTCTCCACTGTGTTTCTGAACACAACCAATGCACTCTGTTCACAACACAACAACTCCACCTTGTGACAAAAGAATAAAACACTAAGTCAGAAACTATCAATCAAGTGATTCAGGGTGTCAGGGGGTTTTGGTCAAGGTCAAGGATGTTTACCACTACAAATGTTCAATTACTGTTGAACCATGTGTGTGAGTTTCCCTCTCTCATGATCCTGCATGTGCTGCCGAGGTCACACTGAGCTGAGAGATGATAATAAGGTATTAAAACAATTCTCACACACTGCAGCGACTGGGCTCCATGATGTAGAACTTGTATGGATCTGTGTAAACCTGTGAGTGAAAATCTGCCCTTGCAAGTAAAACCAATTAAATATCTTGTTGTGTCCTCGAGTGTGGCTTCTTTGAGTAAGTAAAATGAATAAGAGTCTAGGTCTTTTGAAGCCAGCTCCAACATCTGACCTCAAACCTCCAGGTTTGGATCTGAACCGTGCACGTTGGTGCGGGGGTTAATCTCCTTAACTGAATGTCCTCAGACTGGAATTGGCTAATTTTAGAGAGGCCAGATTTGCTGTTGGTTGGAGGGGTGATGGGTGTCGAACGAGTGCAGCCATGCGTTGGAGGTGAGAAGATTATGTTTATTATTTTTGGGAGGTCTGGGACCTCATCAATGTTCTGGGATGACCTATGGGTCCCGACTTTGTTTTTAGGGAGCCAGGGGCTCCGGTAGGCAGATGGTTCTGGACTATCTTTACTATAAAGTGGCTGTTTTCCTGATTTAACTATGTGCCACAAGCAAAAACTAAAATCAGTAAAAACAATGAAGGACTGCACAACAGCTGCATGTTTTAAAACCCTTATCCAGCAGCAGTCTTCAGTTGTCACTGTTGAATCACAGAAAAAGTAAGACTGAATTGTTTTATATGTTGATACTTGTACAGGTCTCTTTATCTCTACTAATGAATTTAGAACTGGTCCTTTACAATATTCACAGTTTTGGGGAATGTCCTGTAGTTTTGGGAAGTATTCAGACCTCCTTCACTTTTTGGAGGTTTATAATGTTCAGTTCAGTTTATTTAGTTCTACAGCGCCAAGTCACAACAGAAGTTGTCTCAGAGCACTGAGCAGAAACATTCACATACATAAAAAAAACAATTAGTAAAAGCAGCAGATTGTGTTGAATCTTCACTTCACCACAGTCTCCCATCCTGAGCAAGCACAAAGGAGACAGTGGAAAGAAAAAACTCCCTTTAACAGGAAGAAACCTCCAACAGAACCAGACTCAGGACAAGCGGCCATCTGCTTCAACCAGCTGGGTTTGAGAGGACAAGAAGGAGAGACAGACAAACACAGAAGGACAGGTCCAGGTGAACTTTCTATAGGAGGAGAGACAATTTTTTAAATAATTATAAATACTAATAGGTAGAAACAGAAAACAGATAGAGAGCAAGTAAAGACAGCAGCAGAGTGAAGAAATGTGGTCAGTTTGTCCTCCAGCAGTCTTAGCCTATAGCAGCATAACTAAGGGAAAGCTCAGGAAACCCAAGTCAACCCTAACTATAGGATTTATCAAAAAGGAAAGACGTATGCCCAGTCTTAAAAGTATTCAAGGTGTCAGCCTCACAGACACATTTCTGCTTTTCTGTTTTTAGAAACTCTAGGAACCTCAAGTAAACCTGCAGCCTGAGAATGAAGTGCAATTTTAGGAAAATATGGAACAGTAAGATCTGTAAATGTTTCAGCCTAGTTCAAAAAGATGCTTCAACTCAGTACTCAGTAAAGTATTTGAGTACTTGAGTAAGTGTTATATTCATTTTTATTAAATACACAAAAAAGAACGATATTTTGTTTATTCAAATTATTGAAAAAAAAAAAAAACATTTAAAGGAATGCAGCATCATGTTCCAACACAATAAACCTAAAGAAAGTAAAGTTTTTTTTTTAAAGAAGTCCTAGATAATAGTGGTTCATTTTTCATCAACAGGCTGGAGAGAAGCATTACCACCCCACATGTGCCCGGTGCGCCCGCTGTGAGCAGATGTTTGCAGAAGGAGAGGAAATGTATCTGCAAGGTGAACGCAGCCTTTGCTGCAATAATGTTTGTCTTTTTTTGAACGTCTGCTAAAGACCCATTGCTCAAACACAAGCCCACCTTTCAACAACAGTCAGCATGCACCTTCTAGCCAAGCCTCATTTTTCACTGTCTTTATTCTCACAACTAACAAATCATCCCTCAGCTGGACAAATCCTTCCTGTTTGTGTGTGTCTTGAGTCACATCAGCACGCTCATGCAAATGATATTTACTACTCAGAGTAGCAGCTGGTCTTTGGTGGACATTTTGCTTCAGCTCAGTTTAACCACTTTTTGTGACTTTAGATGAAATTCAAACTTCCCAGTTTAGTGAGTGTGCCAAATTTCATAAAGTGCAGCGTGAATACATTAAATTCCACTTTTTACACACAGTTCTGCAATTCCATGGTTTTTCTCAAAGCAGAAATAGTTCCCAGAGCGACTCTTTGCACGTGGAAACAGGAAACATGTCCTAAACCAAGATAGGTGGACTAAATGGATCAGAGTTTTTTAAACTGTTTCATCCTTTTTATGTTTTTATGAATGTGAAGGGCAGCCATATTGAATTTAGAGGTTGGTCAGGAATCTGACTGTTTTGGGTCAGAAGTTCAACTTCAGAAGAGTTCTAGTTGTTTTTTTTCTTCTCATGTGGGGCGGCTGTGGCTGAGTGGTTAGAGCAGTCGTCCTCCAATGCAAGAGTTGGGGGTTCGAATCCAGTCACATGTCGAAGTGTCCCTGGGCAAGACACTGAATCTCTCGTTGCCTCTGATGTGTGTCCCATCAGTGTATGAATGTGATAAAGCTCCGATTAGTCTCTTTAGAATGATTTGTTCAATTATCTTTGTAGAGATCTAGTAGAGTGCTGTATGAATGGGTAAATGAGGCACAGATTGTAGTGTAAAGTGCTTTGAGTATCTTGATCAGATAGAAAGGAGCTGTATAAGTACAGTCCATTCCACTTACCATGTGATGAGGCTCAATGGGATTTACCTGTCTAAATAAAGGTTGAATGAATGTGAATTTGGAAGTTTCAACTTTGAGCACAGTCTGAAGCAAAAGGACCACAGATACCAAGAAGCTGCTCTGCTTTAATTTGAGGACAGTGTGTCGCAAACATCATGGGTTTGTCTGAAACATGTTGTGACAGTGGTTCAAAGATTATCTGGACAGAACCAGTTGTTGTGTTAAACATGACACGCATCACACTTTCTGTCTTTGTGTCTTCAGGATCGTCCATTTGGCATCCCCCATGCAGACAAGCAGCCAAGCAGGAGGAGAAGAGTAAGGTGGGCATTAAGTGGAATTAAAGACAGTCCAAAGCAAACAGGACAGAAAATGAACGTTTACAGCCATGATAGATCAGAGGAGGCTCCCTGAGCAGAAATGCTTCAGGAAGCTTTGAGTGTGCAGATGAAGTGCATGATATAAACTCCAACAATGTTCAGTCAGCTCCTCTGGACGGGTCCTTTCTTTTTTTTTTTTTTTTTTGTTGTTGTGCTGAGATGTTTCACCCTCCATCCAGAATAGAATAGAATATACTTTTTTGTCCCCTAGGGGAAATTTGTCTTGGATTCATGGGTGTATAGTAGCAGCTGCCCAAACAGACAGTGAATACACATATAATTCATATAAACAGCTCAAAATGAAGACTACAAACACAACAGTTTGAAAAACAACAACAGAGAACACCAAAGTTCTTGCACACCTTCCAGGCCTCAACATATTTAACATTTTGATTCAAAATTTTGATGCAGGTGGACACAAAAGAATATTTTTAAACGGTTCAGTTTAGTTTTTGGAACTCTATACCTTCCATCCAGAAGGCTTCATCAGTCTGAGGAAACACCAGACTAAACTGCTTCTCCACCATCAGTTCAGTTCAGTTTATTCACACACACAAAAGAAACATAATACATATCTGCAAAATAACAGTGTGTGAATCAGGTCTCCAAAAAGCTATTTAAAGCTTATAGACGGAGCCTGGGTACATATTGCATACAAATTATAAGACATTAAAATAACAACACAATAAAACATCAGTCCTCATAAAAATTCAACATACAATACAGATTATGTTACCTCTGATCAATCAGTTACAGGTCCTACAAGTAAAATAATAATAATAATAATAATAATATAACAGCTTACTCCAAAGTGGAAACAAACAGTTATGTTGGTGCTAAGATAGTCTAAGGGCATGATGAAGTCCTGATGAAGCCCCCAAAAAAGAAACCGTCCAGATGACCTGACTGAACATTGTTGGATTTTATACCTGGATTATCGAGCATGGACTTTGGTGAAATAAACTCATTCTGTTCATCAAATTTTTATTTGTTTTGGAGGTGCTATTTAATTTTTTATTGGTTTGTTTATTTATTCATTTATTCAAACAGAGGCAAGATGGGAATATCTAAAATTAATTATTCATGACACTATGTCGATTCCATCCATCCATCCATCATCTTCTGATTCTTCTGAAGTCAGGTTGCGGGGGCAGCATCTTGAGCAGGGAGGCCCAGACATCTCTTTCCACAGCCAACTCTTCCAGCTCTTCTGGGAGGACACCAAGGAGTTCCCAGACCAACCAAGAGACGTAGTGTCTCCAGAGTGTCCTGGGTCTTCCCCGGGGTCTCCTCCCAGTCAGACATGCCCAAAGCATCTCCCTAGGGAGGCACACAGGGAGCATCCTTACCAGATGCTCGAACCTCCTCAACTGGCTCCTCTAGATGTGGAGGAGCAGCGGTTCTACTTGGAGTCTCTCCTGACAACTGAACTGTCTCTAAGGGAGAGTCCAGCTACCCTGCAGAGGAAACTCATTTCAACCTCCTGTATCCAGGATCTCATTCTTTCAATCACTACCCAGAGCTCATGACCAGAGGTGAGGGTAGGAACATAGACCGACCAGTAAACAGAGAGATTTGCCTCACAGCTCAGCTCCCTCTTCACCACAATGGACTGGCACAGAGTCCACAATACTGCAGACTCTGCACCAATCCGTCTGTCAGTCTCACTCTCCATTCTCCCCTCACTCTTGAACAAAACCCCGAGATACTTGAACTCCTCCACTTGAGGGAGAACCTCACCCTCGACCCGAAGAGACCAATCCACCCTTTTCCGACTGAGGATGATGTCATTGATTCCATCCATCCATCCAGACAAAATTAATAGTTTTCATTTCATTTCTTTTATTTATACAGGTTAGTCTCATCAAAACACTTTTGCCTCATTTGCAAGAGAGAGACGTGTAATGTGAAAATAAAACAACACAATGAATAAACTTCAAACACAAACTGACAGAACTGAATGAACACGCAGCGTACGCAGTCACAAAGAACGCTTAAAGATTTTATAAAATCTTTTTATGCATGACCCAGAAAAGAGCTTTGTTTTGTCTCTTCCTTCCAGTCTCTCTTTAATTAGCACAGAACTGAATAGAAACAGAGGGTGAAAGCAAACAACGATATAAAAAGAATTTATAATATGTTGTGCTGGAATGACAATAATCTCACCGTTCATCTATTCTTAGTTTAGCGTTTAATCTGCCAAGCTGTAGTGTATCCTAAAGCTGGTCCATGAACGTTCCTCAGTGTTAAAAACCCGTATATTGTTAGAAAATTAATCCTCCTGTTCAGAACTGTATATTTTCCATATATTTCTAATCAGTTTGTACTGTCAGCCTCTGTGAAGGATATCATACTGGTTGATGATATTTAATAATCTAAAATGAATTGATATATTTCTTACTTAATATATGAATTTGATATATTTGTTATGTTAATAGAATATACAGAGAATATATGATTTGCCCATGTAATCACAAACCGATTGTCATGGTACAGGAAGTAGTTTTAGAAAAAAATTACGTCCTCATATGAGGACAGAAGAATTTTTGCTTTTAACATTCTTCTGTGTAAACTGGAGTCAGAAGGTCCCAATTACTGTAAAAACTAAATGTCAGCTTTCTACAATAAGCAGTTCTCTAAAACAATCCAAGTCCTCATACAAAGATCCAGGGTCTCAGGATGTTCAAGTAAAAACTTGAATCCGACTGGATCATGCACATGCACTAGATGTTGTTATCAATATCAGCTTCATGTGATTCATTGAAAAGCTGTTGACCTCCATCTGCCCTCTCCTCCATGTCCACACTGCACTCCTCATCATCACCTCTCCTCTTTAGAAGCAGGTCCGGATACAGCTCAGTGATGTTCCTGAGCAGCAGGTTGGTGTTCGTGCACATCTTGTCATTTGCCCCCCTTTGCATGGGTTGGTTGGTACTGCACTGCCATGTGTTCTGCTGTGTGCTTGCTGGGTCCGACATGTTCCTGTGTGGAGGCTAACAAATGTGAGCACTGAGTGATGTCCTCATGTTGGCTCTGATAATGTCAGTGCATGGATTCATGCACAAGGAGGGAAACTGAACGTGGTAATAACCAATAAAATCATAAGAGAGCTCCCAGTCCACTAACAGAACCACTGCAGTCCATGTGCTTGACAGAACGAGTAATGGGTTCTTTGATTACTTAAAGTCATTTAAGTTTCTAGAAGTGCTTTTCTTGGATGCATAAATCTTGATGGGTAATTTTTGTCCCCTGTCGGAGAGAAGAGGGGAATAGAAAATACCCTCTGTCCATCCATTTGTACATGTGAGCATGATAACTTAAAAAATAAATGTACTTTTTCATTCATTCAACCTTTATTTATACAGGTCAGTCTCATTGAGACTTGAGGGCTCATTTACAAGAGTGACATGATTTAAACAAAGAATGATGACAACAGTAGACAATCATATTAAAAAATCATACAAAATGAGAAGTAAATCGAAGAAATTGTATAAAAACGAAACAAAAACAGCTACATTATAGAGTGATATAAAATACTAAAAACAGGAACATGTCTGCATTGGTTTTTGCCATGAATTTAACAGATGTTTAAAGCCACTTAGAGAGGTCAAGGTCAAGAGCTTCAGATCTTTTTGTAAGATATTCCAGGAAACAGGAGCGGAGTAGGAGAAGGCCCTTTTGCCTAGTTCAGTCCGCACTGAGGGAACACTGCAGGTAATAATGTCCTGAGAGCGCACGCTGTAGCTGCACTCACGCAGAGACATGTAGGAGGAGATGTATGAAGACAGCAGACCAAGAAGTGATTTAAAGATGAAAATGTACCAGTGAGAGAGTCTGTGTGAAGTTAATGATGTCCAGTTAACCAGTGAATACAGGGTACAGTGGTGGGTACGATAATCACAGCCAGTTATGAATCTTTGTGCAACATGATAGACAGCATCCAACACTGACTCCCTATTTGGTGTGTGACTGCATCTAATCATTATAAAAAATACACACACACGTATACACATGTGTATACATGTCCATCCATCCATTATCTTTACCTGCTTCTTCCTTTTTGGGTCATGAGGGTCACTGGTGCCCATGTCCAGCAATCACTTTGTGAGAGGTGGGGGACATCCTGGACAGGTCTCCAGTCCATCACAGGGACACAGAGACAAATAAGACAAACAACCATTCACTCTCTCACTCACACTTAGAGACAATTTATAGTTACCAATCAGTCTAATGTGCATGTTTTTGGTCTGTGGGTGGAAACCAGAGCACCCGGAGAAAACCCGTGCATGCACGGAGAGAACATGCAAACTCCACCCAGAAAGGCCCCTGAACCAGGATTTGATCCGGCGACCTGCTTGCTGAGAGGCAGCAGCTCTGCCAACAACTGTGCTGCCCAAGAATCTTACAAATATAGTCAATGGGCTTGTGGAATAATTTTTGTGCACATGGAGACTGCACAGAGATGCAGTGGTGTCTCGGCTGCGCTCAGTCTGGCAGCGGAGGGACACGTTTCCTCTCTGTTTCTGGAAATGATGCTGGTCTCTGCATGACAAACTTACAAACAAGGTCCTCTCCTCATTTAACAAATGAAGAACCAGATCTTCCTCCTCCAACTCCTCCATCATCAACTGAAAATTAACATATTCTTCCAATGCAAGAGTTGGGGGTTTGAATCCACCAGCAGTCACATACCTAAGTGTCCCTGAGCAAGACACTGAACCCCTCGTTGCCTCTTGTGTGTGTCCCATCAGTGTATGAATGTGATAAATCACTGATTAGTCTTTTTAGAATGATTTGTTCAATTAGCTTTGTACAGATCTAGTAGAGTGCTGTATGAATGGGTAAATGAGGCACAGATTGTAGTGGAAAGAGTTTATCTCAATAAAATAAAAAGGTGATAGATAAGTACAGTCCACTTACATCTGTCTCTACCAATCGTCAAGTTGCTGTCTGTGACTGTGTGTATATGTGACTGTGTTGTGTGTTTCAGGTGACTCGGACGTCTTCTGAAAGCATCACTTCAGTCCCTGCTTCCAGCACCTCCGGCTCTCCCAACAGAGTCATCTATGTAAGACAAAACTAATTCTGCCCAATGTTCTGTTCTTTTCACAGATAAAAATGTGCATTTTATTCACATCGTCTCGGGAAAGTTGGTGTAAATATTTTGTTCTTTGTCTAGGCCAAACTGGGAGAGGAGATGTTGGACTACAAGGACCTGGCAGCCCTCCCAAAAACCAAAGCTATCTATAACATCGACAGGCCCGACATGTTGTCCTACTCTCCTTATGTCAGCTACCCATCTGAGGAGAGGCACTACGGGGAGGTGGCACAGACTCTTACATCTTTCTGATCACACTAACTAAACCACTTGGGAAAGAAAAAAAAAAGTTTATAGTGATTCATGCAAATGCCATAATTCTAAGGTATTACTGCCTTAACTAAACAAAATGTATTTGGTTTCTTTATAGATTCCCTCCCACTTCATCTCTTCTCACTCTTGTCAGAAATCCATGTTCTCTCACAAGCTCAGCTAATCCTAAACACTGCAGTCACACTTTATTTCAGCAGGAAGAAAGAACATTGAGCCATTTCCTTTGTTTTCACTCCATCCTTGATTGTGTTGCTGGATTGCTGAAGGTCGTTTCATCCTACATCCAATGCCAAACAGTTGGCTTGTGGTCCCACGGTTCATTTTGTTTTCACATAGACCCATCGTAGTCCATGAGACACAGTGCAGAGCTGCTGGTAAACCCCTCCCACTGCGTTACATGGCACAGGATTCTTCCCACCAGGGTCTCCACTTCAACTTTAGGGCGGCTGTGGCTGAGCGGTTAGAGCAGTCGTCCTCCAATGCAAGAGTTGGGGGTTCAATTCCACCATCAGTCACATGCTGAAGTGTTGCTTGGCAAGACACTGAACCCCTCGTTGCCTCCGATGTGTGTCCCATCAGTGTATGAATGTGATAAAGCTCTGATTAGTCTCTTTAGAATGATTTGTTCAATTAGCTTTGTATAAATCTAGTAGAGTGCTGTATGAATGGGTAAATGAGGCACAGATTGTAGTGTAAAGCCTTTTTTAGTGTCTTGATAGGCTATAAGTACAGTCCATATAACTGAATTGTACAGATGGACGTATTTTCTGACTGCCTCAACCAACTGCTCCTCAAAGCTGTTCATGTTGTTTCCACACACAACAGCCAGATTCTGGAAGTGGAGTAGTTGAAACAAAATGACAACATTGCTGTTCGAGAGCTTCCCCCACAAGCAAACATGCCTACCAACTTTTGATCAATCAGACAATACTTTGGCCGAGGCCTTGTGTCGAGAAGGGGCAGATACATCTACTACCAGAACAGAATGACAATTGTCACCATGCAACTATGTCAATGACAGCCCGAGTCCCGGCTTTGTATGTAGAATGAAACGACGCAACTCATATTAATCCTCACATATGAGTTCATCCTAATCATTGGCTTTCTCCCCGTCTTCATTTGCAGTCCCCCCAGCTGCTTTCTCCTACTCCTACTGAGGTAATATGGTACACAGTGTTTCAGTGTGTGCAAAAACCCCTCATTTGTGCTGTGTGTTTTCTGTATGTTTCTTTGGTTTCATGTGATGATGGGGTACACAGGTCATGTCAGTTCAATTCAGTTTATTTATGTAGAGCCAAATCCTAACAGAATTTGCTTCAGAGCACTGAACAGGAACATTCACTTACATAAAAAAGCCTATTAGTAGAGTCCTCTATCTAAGGAAGCAGCAGAATGTGTTGAATCTTCACTTCATCACAGTCTCCCATCCTGAGCAAGCACAAAGGAGACAGTGGAAAGGAAAAACTCCCTTTTAACAGGAAGAAACCTCCAGCAGAACCAGACTCAGGAACAAGGGCTATCTGCTTCAACCAGCTGTGTTTGAGAGGACAGGAAGTAGAAACAAACGAACACAGAATGGCAGGTCCAGATGTAGGTGCAGGTGTACCTGAAAGACAAAAACACATGTGAAGATAGAAATAATGAAAAATACAAAACAGGTTGAGCAGAGTAAGGAAAGACAGAAGCAGAGTGAAGAAATGTGGTCAGTTTGTCCTCCAGCAGTCTAAGCCTATAGCAGCATAACTAAGGGACAGCTCAGGAAACCCAAGCCGACCCTAACTATAGGATTTAGCAAAAAGGAAAGTCTTAAGTCCAGTCTTAAAACTGGACAATGTGTCAGCCTCACGGACAGAAACTGGAAGTTGGTTCCACAAGAGAGGAGCCTGATAACTGGAAGATCTTCCTCCCATTCTGCTTTTGGAAACTCTAGGAACCACAAGTAAACCTGCAGTCAGAGAGTGAAGTGCTCTGTTAGGAAAATATGGAATGATAAGATCTGTAATATAAGATGGAGCTAGGTTGTTGAGAGCTTTGTAGTTTAGAAGTAAGATTTTGATTTCTATTCTGGATTTGACAGGGAGCCAATGGAGAGAAACTAAAACTGGAGAAATATGATCTCTCCTGTCAACTCCAGTTAAGACTCTGGCAGCAGCATTTTGGATCAACTGAAGACATTGTAAAGAAGTTTTTAGATATCCAGATAGTAAACAATGGCAATATTGCAGTCTAGACGTGACAAATGCACGAAACAGTTTTTCTGCATCATTTTTGGAGAAGGTGTTTCTAATCTTAGTGATATTACGCAGGTGGAGGAAAGCAGTTCTGGTAACATTTTTAATGTGGGGGATAAAAGACATCTTGTCAGTGTCATGACTCATGGGAATCTTCTGTGTATGTGGGGAACACATTTCTGTTCATGGGTACAGATCGATTTTTAGAATTCAGAATTAGATCCTGGTTGCTAATGTCTCAGTGGAGTCAAATAAATGAGCTCTTAGTGTGTGGGTGTTTAGAGGTTCAAACAAAAGCTTTAAAATTCTTGGTTAGTTAAAACAAGCTTTAAGGGTTTGTGGTATAGGGTTTTAAGGAAAATTCAAGGACAATCTAAGTTTATTTAAATGTATCAGATATCGTGTTGCACTTTTCAGTGAAATTAACCAATAATGCTACAGCTCATAACAAGACTGTACTCTATCAATGCCATAAGACTTAAGAAATACACATGTAAAATATGCCAGTGTTAAAAATAAATAAATAAACAGCAATGATATTGCTTTGATTACTATCCTTAAAAACTCTTATGTGATTTTGATTCCAGCCATGTGAGAATATTGCTCGTTTTCTTTAACCAAGGTGTGCGTGTAAACTCAGGTACCTCGTGTTTCAAAACATTCTTAAAAGAATGAAAGATGAAACATCAATTTTTAAGAATAATTTTTAATAATCTTTTGTCAGATAAGGAGATTATAGTAGTGACAGTAATGAATATACACAAACATCAAATAAAAGTTGATGAGATGTTAAAGAACCAGGAGTTGGCATGGATGAACTTCCTCATTGTGGGATAAATCTTATCTTGAGCACAATGTATTGTAAATCACTAGCGTTCAGCATGAGCATTAATGTATGTAAAAAAAGGTCAATAGTTATGTTTGTTTACAAGAACTACACTTTACACTTCCAAAAAAAAAAAAAAAAAAGAACTGCACTTCCTGTAAACTCCCTTCCATTTTTTGGCTCAGCAATATTGATTTTTAGCGACCCCTTCTGTTTCATTGAGGGATTGCAGAAAGTGTAGTGTCAAATTGCTTGCTTTATCAACAATGTGCGACCTATTTATTGTGGGGGGAAAAATGGCTTTTAAGTGTCTTTAATGTCAGAACTCATAAATGATAACAGCAAAAGAGAAGAAAACATCTTGCTACCGTGGGAGAGGGTGAAAGAAAGAGTCGGGGCAGAGCTGACTGAACGCCATAAAGAGTTCAGAGGAGGCAGAGACATAACCTCTGGTTCTCTCTGTGTGCCCCACAAGCACACCTTCAGTTTGGGATCTTCAGCTGGAAAAGCTATGCTGGTGGGTTATTTATTTTGGAGGCAACTGTGGCTGAGTGGTTAGAGCAGTCGACCTCCAATAGGAGAGTTGGGGGTTTGATTCCACCATCAGTCACATGCCGAAGTGTTGCTGGGCAAGACACTGAATCCCTCGTTGCCTCTGATGTGTGTCCCATCAGTGTATGACTGTGATCAAAAGCACTGATTTTTGTTTTGTTTTGTTTATCAAAATGAGTATCTTACCTGTTGTAGATAAATCAATAGAGATGATTGGCTGTGGCAGCTTGGGAGAAATCAACGGGGGAGAAGACAGCCCCCAGAAACCATCTTATCACCAGCAAACTGGTTGGTCCACTGTAGGAGTGTACTGCTTAGTGGGGAAAACAGTTTGTTTGGACTTCTCAGACTGATAAAGCCCTTCGGATGGAGGGTGAAACGTCTCTTAACAGCAAAAAAGGAAACTGTGCAGATGACCTGTTTGAACATTATTGGATGTTTAACCTGGATTATTGAACATGAACCTTGATGTCAATAGAGATGAATTCTCGCTAGACTAATGAGCTATAGGCAAGTCTATATGCGGTCAAGGACAAAGTGGATGCTTGTTGTCTTAAAGCAGCTCTAATCTCCAAAAACTTCATCAAAGTTCATGCAAACACTATATTATAAACTTTTACACCACTCTCAAGCTTTCAAGACATTTAAATGGAACTCTGTGGTTATTGGCAACAGGAGCAGCTGTAACCTTTCCTCGTAATGTTTCTGCCAGAATAACAGTGCACTGTAAAATGTATGGTGGTACAAACCTTTAAATGATAGTGATTTAAACCATGGTGACGTTTTCAAGGTGGAAATTATTTTAAGACATCTGCAGTTTTTGGTGTGTACAAACTGTAATGACCAACTAATAATGTCTAGTATAAACCATTCTAAAGTTGATATTAAAACAACTCCAATTTTTTACATTTCATGGCAGTTCTAGCAGAATGTGTTATTTAAATCTTTACACCACCACAAATGTTGAATTTTTTTTTCTTCATCTGTATTTCCTTAAACATTCTCTTTTCCTGCCCATAATCATCACCTCAACTTAAAGGTCAAGGTCACAAATAAAGGTCAAACATTAGACAGTGTCTTCACTTGTCCAAGCCATTGCTATAGATTGCTCTATAAAGGTTTGTTGATGTGCGTATAATGTGCTGTATGTAGTACTATTGGTTTTTTTATATGTTTTTTTTTTTGGCAGAATAATAAAAGTCTGACCAGAAGTATCCCAGCTTGTGGCAACAAGTTCTACACCAGACAGCTGTTGCTCTTTATGCTTGCAAATAACCACAGAATTCAGTGTTTAGTGAGAAACTAAAATAAAAATAATTATATATATATATATGTA